GTTCAGGTTGCCTGGGGGGGGGCGGGGCATCACTTGCAACCGCTCCATCGTGGCGATGTCTTAAGACAGCCCCGGAAGCCGACGAGCTCACGAAAGCGATGTAGAAAAAGTTGAACCGGTGTTAAAATAAAGTTAAAAAATATATATGTACGCTGTCGATATTTTTTTAAAGCCATGCAAAAGTGCTATCAAATCTTGAATAACACCGTTCATCAAGGGGTTAAAAGTGAGAACTCTTGTTATTTTTGTATTCGTCGTTTTAAAAGCACAAGCTAGCGTCGACCAATATTTACATAAATAAAACCACAAAACAATGGAACTGGAATTCAAACGAGGGCACGCAGATTTAGTTTGCATTCTTTTTCTGTGGGTGGGGGTTGGTGGTGGGTGGGGAAGTCGAACCTTAACATTAAAAAAAAATCACTTCAAAAATACTAAAACAAAAATACGAAAAGCGACCTATTCCGGTCTCGTGAAGGCAGGCGCTGTGCTGGAATAGGCCGGCGCTGTGCTAGAATAGGCCGGCATCGGTGAAAATTACATGGAGGCGATGGTGGCGAAGCTGGTGGTGACTATGGCGGTGAAGACGGCGATAGAGTTGGTTAAGTTGGCGGTGGACGATGGCGATGAAGTTGGTGAAGTTTGGTGATTAAGTTGGTGGCGACGATGGCGGTGACGATGAAGTTGGTGAAGTTTGTTAATGACGTTGGTAATGAAGTTGGTGGCGACGATGGCGGCGGCTGTGACGAGTTGAGACACCGACGCGTGGGTGGGCTGCGGTCGATCCGCGACCGCTCGTTCGCAACCACGGACGGCTTCCCATCCTTGTTTAGATCGCTGCAACGGCGCGGCTGGCGGTGCTAGCGAGAGTCTTGGAGGAGGAGGGGGGGGGGCGAGGAAGAGGGAGGGGGGGGGGAGGAGGATGATGATGAGGGGCGAGGAGGAGTGGGGGGAGGCAGGGGGAGGAGGGAGGGGGGGGGGATGTCCGTGCACTGCTTCACAGCACAGAGCGTTGCGGCACGAGGGGGCCAGAGATGGGCTCGAGCGAGTGGAAGCGATGGATTTGTTTAGCTGATTATTATTACTAACTACTACTACCCCTCGACACTCCGCCCCCTCGACACTCCGCCACGCCCCCTCGACACTCCGCCCCGCCCCCTCGACACTCCGCCCCGCCCCCTCCTCCTCCGCAACGAGATCTGTTTCACAGTAAAATCCGAGGATGTAAAAAATAATTATTAATATTAACACGGCTACTCATCATTAACATTATAATACAGCATACCGGGGTGGGGGGGTGGGGTTATTAAATCTTACCAGCGACTAAATGTATTGCGAGTAAAAACAAAAAGCCAAAACTACAAACTTTAAAAACAAAACCTATAGAGTGATAACGTTAATAGTACACACACACGCACACTTGTAATAAAATATAGCTATGAACCGTTATCTTAGATTTTAACGCGAATGAGAGTTAAGCTGGTAGAGGTGTTGGGGGGGGGGGGGGGGGGGGTCTCGACTTAGCAGGCACAAGGTGAGATGATATTTTACTTAAATTAATCAAAAGGCCACCCGCCCGCCCGCCCTTCAAGGGACTCGTGTACCGGCGCAGCTGATGCAGCAGAAGCCGTCTCCTGCTGCCAACACGTGGCCACTGGGGGGGGGCAGGGGGGCAGGGGGGCACTACCTAGAGGCCGCACGCTGCAGCCTTCTCCGCCGGCAGGCAGCGGCCCAAGCACGGCGCCTCGCTCGGATGGAGACCACGCATCCCGGAATCAGCTGGCCGTGTGTGTGTGTTAGTGTGTGTGTTAGTGTGTATCACTGTGTGCTAGTGTGTATCACTGTGTGTTAGTGTGCATCATTGTGCGTATGCATCACTGTGTGTATGCATGCACTGTGTTATTATTCATCACTGTGTATATGCATCACTGTGTGTTAGTATTCATCACTGTGTGTATGCATCACTGTGTTAGTATTCATCACTGTGTTAGTGTGTGTCACTGTGTGTTAGTATTCATCAGTGTGTGTTTGTGTGCATCACTGTGTGTATGCATTACTGTGTGTTATTATTCATCACTGTGTATATGCATCACTGTGTTAGTATTCATCACTGTGTGTATGCATAACTGTTTGTTAGTATGCATCACTGTGTGTTAGTATTCATCACTGTGTTAGTATTCATCACTGTGTTAGTGTGTATCACTGTGTTAGTGTGTGTCACTGTGTTAGTGTGTCACTGTGTGTTAGTATTCATCACTGTGTGTTAGGGTGCATCACTGTGTGTATGCATCACTGTGTTAGTGTGTATCACTGTGTGTTATTATTCATCACTGTGTATATGCATCACTGTGTTAGTGTGCATCACTGTGTGTATGCATCACTGTGTTAGTATTCATCACTGTGCATATGCATCACTGTGTGTTAGTATTCATCACTGTGTGTATGCATCACTGTGTTAGTATTCATCACTGTGTTAGTGTGTATCACTGTGTTAGTGTGTGTCACTGTGTTAGTGTGTGTCACTGTGTGTTAGTATTCATCACTGTGTGTTAGTATTCATCACTGTGTGTATGCATAACTGTGTGTTAGTATGCACCACTGTGTATTAGTATTCATCACTGTGTTAGTATTCATCACTGTTAGTGTGTATCACTGTTAGTGTGTATCACTGTGTTATTGTGTATCACTGTTTGTTATTGTGCATCACTGTGTAAGTGTGCATCACTGTGTGTATGCATCACTGTGTGTATGCATCACTGTGTTATTATTAATTACTGTGTATATGCATCACTGTGTGTTAGTATTCATCACTGTGTGTTAGTATTCATCACTGTGTGTTAGTATTCATAACTGTGTGTATACATGACTGTGTGTTAGTATTCATCACTGTGTGTTAGTGTGGATGTGTGACCAGATGTGTACGATTTTAATGACACCGGGGCCCAGCCAACAACGCCATCCGTTGCCACACAGCCCCTGCCACCAGGACGTATGCTCTCACTCCCCTCCAGCGTCACCGAGTCATTTTTCACGCTGCGTCTTCCCGCGACGTTGCATTCTCTGGATTTGAAAATAAAAACGTAAAACGACCCCGAAGTTTTGGTTTCGCGTCTTAACGTCCCGACGGAGCGTCTAAATCATCCGAATACGCTGAAAACCGCCCTACGGCGCAAACACACCCTACCCTACCCACGACTGACCTACAGCCTTCACTCGCCTACAGCCTCACTCCGCAAACCCACCCCAACAACTTGCAACTAAAACTACGGCCTCCAGGTGACGGCGGACACCACCTGCTTACGGGGGGGGGGGGGGGGGGGGGCTTCCGGCAGGAGGCATCCGACGCCCACGTGCAGCCGTCGCCTCGACCGGTTGCGCCGCCCCTGCCGCCGCTGCCGCCGCCGAGTCAGAAAGCCGCTGCCGATCGTCCGCCGGGTGGTGCGCCAACCTTCGTCCCCCCCGCCGTAGCTCCGGTGGAAAGGGGAGGCCCGAGTGACCCCCCCCCCCCCGCCCGCGCCCACTTTGCTCCGTGCGGTGCCCTCTGGCGGAATGACAGCCGCAGCTTTGGCTCGAGACGGCGGCGGCGGCGGCGGCACCGTCGGCGCGTGCCCGGTGGATCGACGGAGCTTGGCTATTCGAGGCTGGCGCCAACCCGCGCTGCGGAGAGACAAAACCCGCTCGCTGCCCTCGCCGTGCGGGCAAGCAGCATCCCCGGGGGGTTTGTAAGTCGCCCCGTGCCGCCCTTTCCCAACCCACGTCCAAACTCTTCGGACCGATGACGCTGGCCGGCCGGCACCCACTCGCTCTCGCTCCCCCCCCCCCCCCACCACTTCGCTTTTTCTTGTCCGGCGTAGTCCGTCCGCGGTTGAAAGTTCGTCAGCGGTTCCGCACAAAAAATAAAAAAACGCAATCTATAATCGCAAAGGGTCGCTTAAACCGGCGGCCCCCGCGTCTCCCGTCGGGTACGCGCGCCGGGATCCACGGACGGTAACCACCGCCACCCCGTGGGGCGATTTTAAAAAGGCCAAAATGCTCAGCAGAGCGGGTGGGGAGGGGGGGGGGGGGGCACGCACGTGTCCGCTGGGACTCGACAACACGATCACCGGCAGCTTGCAGAGCAGCGAGCGAGCGGGCTGCTCCGCGATCTTCCCTTGCGAGCGGGGACAACCGCCGATTTCACCGCCGCTACTGCCGCCCCCCCCCCCCGCCGCCCATCACTCCCCGCACCGCCTCGCTTGGACAAACGTCTGGGAGCGGCGGGGGGGGGGGGGGGGGTGATGGGGGCGCGGTTGCCGAGCGGAAACGCGGCACGGCCTGGGCCCCCGAGCTCGGCGACTCGGCGGGGGCTGCACGCAAACTATCGTCACCTCTCTCTTAAAACGCGTCGTCGCGTACATTTTACAGCTTGCATAACGGATCGTCGCGCGGGATGGCCGTGGGACGTCGCGGCGACGGCTCGGCGGAGGCCTTCATCCAGCAGCGGATTGGCCACGGCTCACGACGACGACGATTGGGTTTGTCGAGCACACACGGAGCGTTGAGTCGGGAGACACGGCCAGCTGACCCCCCCCCCCCCCACCCACCTTGTGGTAACCTAGTGTTAGAGCCGTCACCGCTCACCAGGCCCCGTCAAACCGCGCCCCGCCAACTCCGTTTGTTTTCCGGGACCGCGGGCGGGGTGGGTGGGGGCGGGGTTTCTCGGTGACACCCTGGGGGGTGGGTGGGGGCGGGGTTTCTCGGTGACACCCCGAGGGGGGGGTTGGGCGGCCTCACCGCGTCGTCTCCCGTCTCGCGAAACCAACCCACTGGAGCGTGCGTGCCGCGGCGGTAGCAACAGAACATCATTTGGCTTTCTCGCGGTTACTTCAACCCTAAACTATCGTTGGGGGAGGGCGGGAGAGGAGGGAATTTCGTTTAACAAATTGCGTTGATACGCGTCAACGAGGGTGTCCCCCCCCCCCACTCCCACCCGACGTAGCGACCCCCCTCGCTCACCCGCCCCCCCCCCCCCCCCCCCCCCCGGGGCGGGCGGGTGAGCGAGGTCGTAAGGTCGGGGTCCGCCGCCGGTGCGGTGGACCCACGAGCGACCGGGCGGATCGATCGAAGCCGGCGGACGCCCCGGTCGCACGTCCGCCCGCACCGCCCGCACGCCGCTTCTTCATCCGGTGACGACGCCGCTCGTCGTCGGGGCTCGGTAACGATCGCCGGGATGGCGACGGCGAGAGGCGCGAGGCCGCCCGCGGGGTTCTCTCCCTCGGCGGGGGCCGAGCGCGAGCGGCGGCGTCCTCCGTTCTCCCCCCGCCCCCTCCTCCCCGTGCCGCCGCGTTCTCGCGGACACCTCTTCTCATTCCCTTCATCGTCGTCGTCCTCTTCCTTCACCTCTTCCGCCAGGTGGATGACACCTAGAGGGAGGGGGGGGGGGTTTCAAAGGCAACGGTGAAACTGAGGGTGCCACCGGCATCACGAGCACTCATGCCGAGATGTCAACCACAGCGGCAGCCATGAGCCCGAGATTGTTCCGAGTGGGTGAGCGGGTGGGCGAGCGAGCGGGTGGGCGAGCGAGCGGGTGGGCGAGCGAGCGGGTTGTCGAGCGAGCGGGTGGGCGAGCGAGCGAGCGGGTGGGTGAGAAAGTCCATGAGCGAGCGGGTGAGTGTGCAAGCGGGTTATCGAGTGGGTGAGTGAGTGAGCGAGTGAGTGAGCAGCAAGTGGCTGAGTGAGTGAGCCTCTCACCGCTGAGCCGAGCGGAAACCTTGGCGTTCTAAACAAACGCAAAATGGCTGCCGCCGCCGGGCGCTGATGCATCCTGGGAAGGGGACGCCCCCTTCGTCGGGGAAGTGAGTTTGGCTGTCGGGCGGGCGGCAGGAAACAAAACCAGAGAGCGGAGCGAGGGGCGTGAGGAACGCAGAGACTCGCTTCGGCCGGGTTAGTCACCCGGAAAACATATCCTCGCTCCGGCACACCGCGTCCGGTATACGTCCCCGCTATGGCCGCGGCGACTTACCAGCCAGGCGCCACCGTGTCCAGTCTTACCGGTGACTCGGAAAATACTTCCACGCCCGGCGCACACCGCATCCGGTACACATTCCGCTATGGCTGCGGCTACTGCAGTTGACCGGCGACCCCGGTGAACAAATGGCGAGGCGGGCGAGGCCCCGTGACGGGGACCCACGGAATACCACGGAATACCGCGCGCCGAGTTCTGCCGACGCGCGTCCGAGCTGCCCGCGGCGGCGCCGTACCGGCCACGGCCTTGCTCCGCTGGCACGCCTCCGCGGCGAGGGCGCACGACATGCTGATGATGCGCTCCTGCTCCTGCACGTGCGCCTCCACCTTGCCCTGCGCCACCTCGCGGCTCGCCGGCGACGGCAGCGGCGCCACGTTCTGCACGCTGGCGACGCGGAGGGGGCGGGGCAATGTGACGGTGGGAGGGCGGTCCGCGGTTTGAAAGCGGAAGGCGGCCCTGGTCAATACCGTGACGCGTCGTGACGCGTGCGACGACGCGCGTGACGACGCGTGTGCACATGATGACGCTGTACCTGGACTTGGCGAGCATCGCCTTGATCCGCTCCACGTTCTTCTGCCGCGCCTCCATTTCCAGGGGGCTCAGCGGCTCCTCAGGGTCCTCGTCCACGTAGCGCTCGGGCACCATCACGTTGTGACGAGGGGGGGACACCTGCTGGCCGGGGGGAGGGGCAGGCGGGGGGAGGGGGCATAACCGTGGCCGGCTCGTCATCAACATCATCGCTCCCGTTATCATCGGTAACACCATCGTCATCTCCCGTTGTCATCGTCACCGTCGAATACCGTTGCGAACATCGCAACCATGATCGTTAAAACTGTCATCGTCATGGCTATCTTTATCACTGTCATCGTCATGACAATCGTCATCGTAACTACGGCTATCAATGCTGCCTTCGCCATCATCATGTACATAATTATCATTGCTATAATCACAATAATTTTCAACATCATGACAAATGCGACCATTGCCTTTATGGCTGTGATCACCAGCACCTGTCAACAGACACAGAACAATGCTCAGATTTGGATCTCTCTCTCCGTGACCTCCCGCCCGGGTCCAGCTGTTTTCACTCCCGACCTCCGACTCCTGATTGGAACCCAAAAACCCAGAACTCTCAGCAGCATTTGAAACATCACCGCAAAGTGCACATCTCTCACCACCCCAACAGCTCCCCCCCCCCGCACCTCTCACTCAAAAACCGGAGATATCTCTCAATCCAGACCCGGATCTCCACCAACTGACCTCTAACCCTGGATCACCTCTGACCTTGGCCGTCTCTCACCCCTGACCCCGGCTGTCTCAACTCTGACCCCGGCTGTGTCCCACCCCTATGACCCCACCATCTCACCTCCGACTTTCACCCAGGATGTGGCTGCGTCTCACCTGTGACCCTCACCGTGTCTCACCCCTAACCCCCGGCTGCGTCTCACCTCTGACCCCGGATGGTAGCTGCCGTCGAGCTCCGTGCCGGCGGTGCGGAGCCGCGCGATCTCCTGCGCCGGCGTCTCGGGCGCCGCCGCGTCCTGCATGGCGCGCTCCAGCTCAGCGATGTCCAGGTCGTCCTTGCGCTGGCTCACCTTCATGAGCTGCAACGACGCGGCGGCGGTAACGGTGGTGGTGGGTAAGGCAGGCGGACACCACACCGCCACGGCCTCATGGCCCACGGCCTCACCCTCGTCCAGTGTCTCACCCAATGTCTCATGGCCCAATGTCTCATGGCCCAAGGCCTCATGGCCCAAGGCCTCATAGCCCATGGCCTCATGGCCCCATGGCCCATGGCACATGGCCTCATGGCCCATGGCCCATGGCCTCATGGCCTATGGCCTCATGGCCCACGGCCTCACCCTGTGTCTCACCCAATGTCTCGCCCAAGGCCTCATGACCAAAGGCCTCATGGCCGAAAGCCTCATGGCCAAAGGCCTCACCCTGTGTCTCACCCAATGTCTCGTCCAAGGCCTCATGGCCAAAGGCCTCATGGCCCAAGGCCTCATGGCCCAAGGCCTCATGGCCAATGGCCTCACCCTGTGTCTCACCCAATGTCTCGCCCAAGGCCTCATGGCCAAAGGCCTCATGGCCGAAGGCCTCATGGCCCAAGGCCTCACCCTGTGTCTCACCCAATGTCTCGCCCACGGCCTCATGGCCCACCGTCTCGCCACGGTGTCTCCACCGCGATAAAATGCGCCACATGGGTTGACGCCAGGCCCACAGAGTGGTAATGGCGCGGAAATGGCGGCACCTCAACGGAGCAACGGCGCGAAAAGCCACGAAGCCACGCCTCGTGGAACGTGTCGACTGACTGAGATGGCCGTCCTCTCTGTGCTACTTTGTACGTGCCATGGGTTGACTGACTGAGATAGACTGGCAGATGCACCACCTGTGCCCCCTAACTGTGCCAACAAATAGACTGTTGCGGCAAACGCTGATAGCGAGTAGCAGCACCTATGAAGGCCGGCATGGCACACGAGGGGGTGGGGGCTAGCCAGCACGATGGGTTGGGGCTGCCGCGTGCCGAGGGCACGCACAGGGCACGTGACACCTTCAGCCCACACACACAGGGCATGCGCCAGCCCCAACACACACACACAGGGCACGTGACAGCCCCAACACACACACACACACACCTGCGAGACGTCCACGGACGCGGGCCGTGCGGGCGACTGCGCCGCCAGGACGGTCCGGCGGTCGAGTGTCATCGTGTGGCCGCGTCGGCGCGGCGCGGCCCGGCCCGACCCCCCCGGGGTCACCGTCGCCGCCGCCTCCCCCCCGCCGCCGCCGCCGCCGCCGCCGCCGCCGCCCCCGGCCGCCACCGCCGCCGCCTTCTGGTTGAGCTTGAGCCGCTCCAGTTGCTCCTCCACGCTCATCTTGCCGCGGCCGGCACCGCCCGCGGGACCGCCCGCCGGGTACAGCGCGTCCATCGCGCTCTTGGGCCGCTCCTAGCAATGGCGCAGACGATGGCCACGATGATGGCGATGATGGCGACGATGGCGACACTCGCGATGACGAGCGACGTTCACAAGCAACGAGCGATGCTCACAAACGAGCGGAGCGACGGGTGGATAGAACGCGGAACTTGCCTTGGCCCCGTTTGACTTGGCGCGACGGAGCGTGACGTAGGAGGCGATGGTGGTCGACTGCATCTGTCCCGGCTGGGACAGCGGGGGGACAACTCCGACAAGCGAAGTGAAGACTGGGGGAGACAACCACCGCCGCACGGGGACACGCGGGGACATGCGGGGACACGCGGGAGACACGCAGGGGAGACACGCGATGATGAAACAGGAGGACAAGGAGACCCGGGGGACGCACCGGGTGTGACGACACGCGGACACCTCAGATGCGTGGACACGCACGTGCACGCAAGGACGTGTCTGAGCGCACGAGCACCAGGACTCTCACGCACGAAAGGCACGGCAGAAACACACACACACACACAGGGATGAACGCACGCACGAACATTCACACGCAAATATTTTCTTGGGTCTCTCGGTAAAGTCACGTAGACAGGTTCAAAGAAAATAACCCAAGCGGTGACGTCACCGCTTGTGTTGCGATCGAAACGTCGTAGTTTTTTTGTTATTTTTCTTTGAACCTATCTACGTGACTTTACCGAAAGACCCAAAGAATCTGGATTCCTGCAGTCACGAAAGCTTTAGGTCGAGATTCACACACAAGAGTACACGGACACGCACGCACGCACGCACCGCGGTGCGCGGGCACCGGGACAAGCGATCACAAGGACGCGTGAACACCAGGACGGGTGAACACAAGGACGGGTGGACACCAGGACGGGTGAACACCAGGGCGGGTGGACACCAGGGCGGGTGGACACCAGGGCGGGTGGACACCAGGACGGGTGGACACCAGGATGGGTGAACACCAGGGCGGGTGGACACCAGGACAGGTGAACACCAGGACGGGTGGACACCAGGGCGGGTGGACACCAGGGCGGGTGGACACCAGGGCGGGTGGACACGCGAACACAACGCGAACGGGCCGGCGACACCGGGGTGGGGCGAGCCATCACACTCGGGGGGGACACCGCGCCCCACGCTCACCCTTCTGCTGCTGCTGCTGCTGCCGGTCGCTGGCGCCGTTGCTCTTGCCCTGCTGCGGTTGGTGGTGAGTCACCTGCGGCAAAAACCACGTGGCGCTCACCCGGTGAGGCTCCCCTCTCGCCGACACGGCCGATGCCTAAACCTCGACCCGACCTCGATTATAAAAAAATTCGCCCCCAGAGTCTGGGCTTGGCCCTGTCGCCGGCCTTGTTTCTGACCTTGCCGTGACTATGACGATGGCGACTATGACGATGGCGACTATGACGATGGTGACTATGACGATGGTGACTATGACGATGGTGACTATGACGATGGCGACTATGACGATGGTGACTGTGACGATGGTGACTGTGACGATGGTGACTATGACGATGGTGACTATGACGATGGCGACTATGACGATGGTGACTATGACGATGGTGACTATGACGATGGTGACTATGACGATGGCGACTATGACGATGACGACTATGACGATGACGACTATGACGATGACTATGACGACTATGACGATGGTGACTATGACAATGACGACTATGACGATGGTGACTATGACGATGGTGACTATGACGATGGTGACTATGACGATGACGACTATGACGATGACGACTATGACGATGACGACTATGACGATGACGACTATGACGATGACGACTATGACGACTATGACGATGACGACTATGACGATGGCGACTATGACGATGGTGACTATGACGATGACGACTATGACGATGGTGACTATGACGATGGTGACTATGACGATGACGATGACGACTATGACGATGACGACTATGACGATGACGACTATGACGATGACGACTATGACGATGGCGACTATGACGATGGTGACTATGACGATGACGACTATGACGATGACGACTATGACGATGACGACTATGACGATGACGACTATGACGATGACGACTATGACGATGGTGACTATGACGATGGTGACTATGACGATGGTGACTATGACGATGACGACTATGACGATGGTGACTATGACGACTATGACTATGACGATGACGACTATGATGATGGTGACTATGACGATGACGACTATGACGATGACGACTATGACGATGGCGACGACAATGACGTCGCCGCCGCCCCCCCGCCCGTACCTTGGCGTCCCCGTTGGTGAGTTGCTCGCCGGGCGCACCGCCGGTGTAGGGCGACCCCCAGCTGCTGCCCGCGAGCGCCGGCCGTGCCGAGCCGTAGCTGTCGGGCAGCGGAGGGCGCGGCGGCGTCGCCTCCCGTCTCTGCGCACGCACGGCGAGGGCAACGGACACGGACGGTCGGCCGCGTCGCGACGGCACTTGGCCCCGCAAGCAGCACCCCCCCCCCCGCCCCCGTCGACGGGCCGTACCGGCCAATCTTATCGGGGAGCGATAAAAACCATCGTCACGCAAACTCCGCTCGTCCTCGCAGCGGCGGTCACCGCATCGCCGCGGCGCTTGCAGATCGCGCTTCTGCGGCCGTCTGGAACGCTCTTCCCTTCCGATATTAGGAAGCGACTGGGAGGCTGTGCCGCACCTTTAAATCATTGCTCGTTTCTCTTTTCGTTTTTTAGTTTGTTGTCCTTCCCCCGCACCTCCGATCAGCGCTGGTGGCCGCGTGCGGTGCGTGAAAGACGTTCAACGTACGGTGATAAGCCACGTCGTTGAGCTATCGTTTGTGATGGCCGGGTTGCTTCCGAAAGAGCAGCTGAATCGCTCAGTTGCCCCTTGCCTGGTCAAGTAAAAATCGCTTTTTTTTTCTAAATTATTTGCCTACGTCTGCTCTACTTTGCACTCCTGTCGCGTGTTGGTATCGTTTGCCGTTGTTACGTTCTGACCCCGCGGGGCGCGTTAACTGGCCGTCCGTGAAAAAAACAAACAAACCTAAGAGCTTCGCAGCTCATCGGATTCCTCCGCCTGCAGTCTAAATCAAGATTCTGAAATCTGATCGCCGCGAGAGTCGTCCGGGGTTTTTAACTGCGGCGGTGTGCAGGCGGCGCAACTGCACCGGGGGCTGAGACGACGCACGGCCGCCGGATGACGAGGACGGGGACATGTGGACAGGGGGGCCTGGGGGCCTGGGTCCAGGGGACCAAGAGGGGACAGGGGGGGAGGGGGCAGGGTGCCCCTCGCCCACCCATTTAATTCCTGGCGCCGAGACCAACGTCAACTCCGCCTCTGGTGTCAGAGATGCCGAGCCGGTCATGCCGAGAACCTCGGTTTGAGTCCTGGGTCTCGAGAGAGAGAGGGTTCAGAATGACCGCGTCAGAGCCAACACTGCCCAGAGCCTGAGTTTGAATCCTGAGTCTGGGTGTCTGTCTCTCTCTCTCTCGTGGGGTTCAGAATGGCCACGTCAGACAGTGGCGTAGCTGACGAGTGTGCGGGCGGTGGAACCGCACGGAGGCGCGCTGCGGAGCCTCACCAGGGAGGAGCGAAGGGGCGAGTGGGGTCCAACGGCTCGAGGGGGGCTTCCCGAGGGGTCCCTTACGAGGTGGGGGTGACCGCTGACGCCTGTGCGAGGACACGACACATCGTCGTCATCGTCGTCATCGTCATCATCGTCGTCATCGTCATCGTCGTCATCGTCATCGTCGTCATCGTCATCATCGTCGTCATCGTCGTCGCCGTCGTCATCGTCGTCGTCATCATCGTCATCGTCGCCGCCATCGTCATTAGCTACGTCATCACTTCCAGAGTCATTGTCATCAACGCAATCAGCATCAGCAATAACAACATTGTCACCACTCCTGCCAGTTTCAGCTACATCGTTGCTCCAATCACCACCATCATCATCATCATCCTCCTGCAGTGAAGAGGATAACAGAATGACGATGATGACGATGACTATGTCGACCGTCAACTTTCGTGCCGGTAACGACGAGCGGTACGGTGATTTCAATAATAAATCATGTCGATAATAAATAAATAGATAAAAAAAAATAACAAAACATTTTACGAAACAATTACGAGAAAATAAACCCAAAAATAACAAAAAAAACGAAAATAACAAAAAAATAACAACATGACGTCGATGAGACAACCACAATGAACCGCTGACGACGGTCGATCGCGACGACGACGACGACGACGATGACGACGACGACTCCAGGCCTCACCTGTCCCCACGGGGCCCCCCGCTGTCGTCACGTCCCAGCTGCCCTGTCCGAGCCCCCCCATCACATCCTGGATCCGCCACAGGTCCCTCTGCACCTGCGCTCGCTGCTGGTTACCCACTTCAGTCTGGCGGAGAGAGAGGGGGGGGGGGGGCAAGGGGGGGGTAACGGGGGGTAGTGGTGGGAACAGGGGTCACGTGGGAGGAGGGGGGGGGGCGGCAGAAGTAGGGATCACATGACAAAGGAAGCAACGGGGGGGGGGGGGGGGAGGGGGGGCATGAGGAGTCACGTGACCCGGGGGGCGCCAGCAGTTGGATCAACAGGGGCGGCCGTAGCAGTCGCGTGCCTGGGGGGGCGTCGCACGGCAGGGATCAAGCGATCCGACAAGGCACGGGGAATGTGAAGAGCTCACGTGGAGGAGGCCGTACCTGCGTGAAGCTGAGCCGGCTCAGGAGGTCCTCCAGATGGACCCTCAGGGCCAGGAGGTCGGACTCCAGCTGCTTGTACTCGATCACCGAGCGCTCCAGATCCTGGGCGGCATCGCAAGGGAGGGGCGACGTCACCGCGGCAACAGCACGACGTCACCGACGCAGTTCACGCGTCTCACGGGGTGGCTAGGAGATGTCGACTACCTCGCTTGGTACGCAGGAGGTCGTGGGTTCGATCCCGACCCTGAGGAAGCCTGCTGCTGTGTATTTGGAGTTTGCGTGTCTCTCTCTTTCTCTCTCTCCCCGTGGTCGCGTGGATTTTTCCCCGGGTCCTCCGGTATTTCCCTCCACATTTAAAAACGGACATCGCGCGTTTGGAGAGTCTTTGGCTGCTGCTATAAATGTCCACGTGATAAGCCACTGCGGCGTTGAGCTATCATTTGTGGCCAGGTCTCCTCTGATTGGGTGGGGGATGAGAGGGACGGGGGGGGGGGGGTGATCGGGTAGGGGATGGGTGGGTGGCTGGATGGGGGGTTGAAAGGATGGGGGGATGGGGGGGTGAGGGGATGGGGCGTGGGGGTCCCTCTCACCAGGCTGAGCCGGGCGCTGTCTGCACGAATGTGCACGAGGTCGGCCTGCAGCCGCTGCTGCTGCTGCTCGTGCAGCAGCTCGGGCTGCGAGCGTCGCTGAGCGACCTGCAGGTGCAGCCCCTCCAGGGACGACTCGATGCGCGCCTGCGCCGCCACGCACACACACGCACACACACACACACGCACACACACACACACGCACGCACACACACACACACACGCACACACACACACACACACGCACACACACGCACACGCACACACAAACATACCCACGCACACACACGCACACACACACACACGCACACACACACACACGCACACACACGCACACACACACGCACGCACGCACGCACACACACACACACACAGACACACACACACACGCACACACACGCACGCACACACACACATACCCACACACGCACACACACACGCACGCATGCACACGCACGCACGAACACACACAAACATACCCACGCACGCACACACACGCACGCACGGACACACACACGCACGGACACACACACGCACGCACAAAGATAAAATGCCTTCCATCCACCCGGGTAGCCTTCGCAAGCTGTCAGGGCAAGTGCCGTCACGGCGAGTAGTGTCGCCACGTCTCCCCACTGCCGATGATTACACATCGCAGCGAGTACACACAGACACACATCACACCGAGTACACACAGACACACAGACACACATCACACCGAGTACACACAGACACACATCACACCGAGTACACACAGACACACAGACACACATTACACCGAGTACACACAGACACACAGACACACATCACACCGAGTACACACAGACACACAGACACACATCACACCGAGTACACACAGACACACAGACACACATCGCACCGAGTACATACAGACACACAGACACACATCACACCGAGTACACACAGACACACATCGCACCGAGTACATACAGACACACAGACACACATCGCACCGAGTACACACAGACACACAGAGTACACACAGAGTACACACAGACACACATCGCACCGAGTGCACACAGACACACAGACACACATCACACCGAGTACACACAGACACACATCGCACCGAGTGCACACAGACACACAGACACACATCGCACAGAGTACACACAGATACACAGACACACATCGCACAGAGTACACACAGACACACATCGCACAGAGTACACACAGACACACAGACAAAAGGCCGAGGCGATCTCGGTGAGGCCCAGGACCGGTTCAGATAATCGCCGTCACCGATGCAGGCTTTGAGCGGGAATTGAACTCCGGTAGATGGGTTTTCAGCGCAAGCACGGCCCTAACCACTGCACCATCGCTCCCCAAAATAAAATAAAACAGCCTTGACAAGACTGTTGGGGCAAGTGCTGTTAGCGAGTAGCAGCAGCAGTGCCTATGAATGGGATAAAGATCACCCGTATAGCCTTGACAAGACTGTTGGGGCAAGTGCTGTTAGCGAGTAGCAGCAGCAGTGCCTATGAATGAGATAAAGATCCCCCGTATAGCCTTGACAAGACTGTTGGGGCAAGTGCTGTTAGCGAGTAGCAGCAGCAGTGCCTATGAATGAGACAAAGATCCCCCGTACAGCCTTGACAAGACTGTTGGGGCAAGTGCTGTTAGCGAGTAGCAGCAGCACCAGCAGCTATGAAGGCCAGCACGAGTGGGTGGGTGGGTGGTTGGCCAGCATCACGCGCGCTACAAAGACAAACATCCCCCATATAGCCTTAACAGACTGTTGGGGCAAGTGCTGTTAGCGAGCACCTGTGAAGGCTGGCACAGCACGCGAGGGGGTGGGTGGCCAACACCACTCTCGGCCGCCTTTGTCTCCCCAGTGGCGATGTTTACGCACCGCACCAGGTACTCATTTGAGGCCGAGTCGACCTAGGGGAGGCCCAGGACCCGGTTCAGATAATCATCACCGGTGTCGGCCGTGAGCGGGAATCGAACTCGGGTCGCCGGGTTCGTAGCGCAGCGCGAAACCCACCACGACACGGCCATCGTGACCTCACCATCGTGACCTCACCACCTCACCATCGTGACCTCACCACCTCACCATCGTGACCTCACCACCTCACCATCGTGACCTCACCACCTCACCATCGTCACCTCACCACCTCACCATCGTCAACTCACCACCTCACCATCGTGACCTCACCACCTCACCATCGTGACCTCACCACCTCACCATCGTGACCTCACCACCTCACCATCGTCAACTCACCACCTCACCATCGTGACCTCACCACCTCATCATCGTGAACTCACCACCTCACCATCGTCAACTCACCACCTCACCATCGTCAACTCACCACCTCACCATCGTGACCTCACCACCTCACCATCGTGACCTCACCTTCTCACCATCGTGACCTCACCACCTCACCATCGTGACCTCACCACCTCACCATCGTGACCTCACCACCTCACCATCGTGACCTCACCACCTCACCATCGTGACCTCACCACCTCACCATCGTGACCTCACCACCTCACCATCGTCAACTCACCACCTCACCATCGTCAACTCACCACCTCACCATCGTGACCTCACCACCTCACCATCGTCGTGACCTCACCACCTCACCATCGTGACCTCACCACCTCACCATCGTCAACTCACCACCTCACCATCGTCAACTCACCACCTCACCATCGTCAACTCACCACCTCACCATCGTCAACTCACCACCTCACCATCGTCAACTCACCACCTCACCATCGTCAACTCACCACCTCACCATCGTCAACTCACCACCTCACCATCGTCAACTCACCACCTCACCATCGTCAACTGACGACCTCACCATCGTGACCTCACCACCTCACCATCGTGACCTCACCACCTCACCATCGTGACCTCACACCTCACCATCGTGACCTCACCACCTCACCATCGTCAACTCACCACCTCACCATCGTGACCTCACCACCTCACCATCGTCAACTCACCACCTCACCATCGTGAACTCACCACCTCACCATCGTGACCTCACCACCTCACCATCGTCAACTCACCACCTCACCATCGTGAACTCACCACCTCACCATCGTGACCTCACCACCTCACCATCGTCAACTCACCACCTCACCATCGTGACCTCACCACCTCACCATCGAGAACTCACCACCTCACCATCGTGAACTCACCACCTCACCATCGTGACCTCACCACCTCACCATCGTGACCTCACCACCTCACCATCGTGACCTCACCACCTCACCATCGTCAACTCACCACCTCACCATCGTGACCTCACCACCTCACCATCGTGACCTCACCACCTCACCATCGTCAACTCACCACCTCACCATCGTGACCTCACCACCTCATCATCGTGAACTCACCACCTCACCATCGTCAACTCACCACCTCACCATCGTCAACTCACCACCTCACCATCGTGACCTTACCACCTCACCATCGTGACCTCACCTTCTCACCATCGTGAACTCACCTTCTCACCATCGTGACCTCACCACCTCACCATCGTGACCTCACCACCTCACCATCGTGACCTCACCACCTCACCATCGTCAACTCACCACCTCACCATCGTCAACTCACCACCTCACCATCGTCAACTCACCACCTCACCATCGTCAACTCACCACCTCACCATCGTCAACTCACCACCTCACCATCGTCAACTCACCACCTCACCATCGTCAACTCACCACCTCACCATCGTCAACTCACCACCTCACCATCGTCAACTCACCACCTCACCATCGTCAACTCATCACCTCACCATCGTCAACTGACGACCTCACCATCGTGACCTCACCACCTCACCATCGTGACCTCACCACCTCACCATCGTGACCTCACCACCTCACCATCGTGACCTCACCACCTCACCATCGTCAACTCACCACCTCACCATCGTGACCTCACCACCTCACCATCGTGAACTCACCACCTCACCATCGTGACCTCACCACCTCACCATCGTGACCTCACCACCTCACCATCGTGACCTCACCACCTCACCATCGTGAACTCACCACCTCACCATCGTGACCTCACCACCTCACCATCGTGACCTCACCACCTCACCATCGTCAACTCACCACCTCACCATCGTGACCTCACCACCTCACCATCGTGAACTCACCACCTCACCATCGTGACCTCACCACCTCACCATCGTGACCTCACCACCTCACCATCGTCAACTCACCACCTCACCATCGTGACCTCACCACCTCACCATCGTGACCTCACCACCTCACCATCGTGAACTCACCACCTCACCATCGTGAACTCACCACCTCACCATCGTGACCTCACCACCTCACCATCGTGACCTCACCACCTCACCATCGTGACCTCACCACCTCACCATCGTCAACTCACCACCTCACCATCGTGACCTCACCACCTCACCATCGTGACCTCACCACCTCACCATCGTCAACTCACCACCTCACCATCGTGACCTCACCACCTCACCATCGTGAACTCACCACCTCACCATCGTGACCTCACCACCTCACCATCGTCAACTCACCACCTCACCATCGTCAACTCACCACCTCACCATCGTCAACTCACCACCTCACCATCGTCAACTCACCACCTCACCATCGTCAACTCACCACCTCACCATCGTGACCTCACCACCTCACCATCGTCAACTCACCACCTCACCATCGTGACCTCACCACCTCACCATCGTGACCTCACCACCTCACCATCGAGAACTCACCACCTCACCATCGTCAACTCACCACCTCACCATCGTGACCTCACCACCTCACCATCGTGACCTCACCTTCTCGTTGCGCAGCTGCCTCAGCCTGGTCTCCTGCTCGTGAAGCGTCTTGTTGTGGTCACACAGCCGCGTCAGCTTCATCTGTCGCAGCCACAACAAAGATCATCGCCACCACCCCCGGCCCAGTGGAGGCCTTTAACAGACCGCTGGGGCAAGCGCAGCTCGCGGCCACAGACACACACATACACACACACAGGCACACACAGGCACACACACAGACACACACAGGCACACACACACAGACACACACAGGCACACACACACACACAGATACACACGCAGACACACACACAGACACATAGACACACAGACACATAGACACACAGACACACACACAGATACAACCAGACACACAGACACACACACAGACACACACACACAGACAACCAGACCCACAGAGACACACACACAGAGACACACAGACACACACAGATCGACACAGACACACACAGACCCACACAGACACACACACAGACACAACCAGACCCACAGAGACACACACACAGACACATAGACACACACAGACAGACACAGACCCACACAGACACACGCAGACAGACACACAGACAGACACACACAGACAGACACACACACAGACACATAGACACACACAGACACACAGACCGACACAGACACAACCAGACCCACAAAGACACACACACAAAGACACATAGACACACGCAGACAGACACACACACAGACACACACACAGACACAGACACAACCAGACCCACAGAGACACACACACAGAGACACATAGACACACACAGACAGACACAGACACACAGACAGACACACACAGATACATAGACACACATAGACACACACAGACACATAGACACAGACCCACACAGACACACACACAGACACAACCAGACCCACAGAGACACACACACAGAGACACATAGACACACACAGACACAGACCCACACAGACACACACAGACACACACAGACACACAGACAGACCCACAGAGACACACACGCAGACAGACACATAGACCCACACAGACAGACAGACACACACACACACAGACACACACAGACACACAGACACACAGAGACACATAGACACACACAGACAGACACATAGACACACACAGACAGACACACACACAGACACATACGTGTACACACGATACAAAGACAAAGACCCCCCCCCCCATAGCCTTAACAGACTGTAGGGGCAAGTGCTGTTAGCGAGCAGCACCTACGTAGGCCGGCACGGCACACAAGGGGGGTGGGGTGGCCAACACCACGCCCGGCCGCCTTTGTCTCCCCAGTGGCGATGTCTACACGCCGCACCAGGTACTCATTTGAGGCCGAGTCGACCTAGGGGAGGCCCAGGTACCAGTTCAGATAATCGTCACCGGCGTTGGCCGTGAGCGGGAATCGAACCCGGGTCTCCGGGTTCGTAGCGCAGCTTAGCTCTGACCGCTACACCGGGTACTCATTTGAGGCCGAGTCGACCTAGGAGGAGGGGTGGGGGGGTGGAAGCGGTGGGGGGTGGGGGGCGAGGGGGGGGGGGGGCAGACCGTGTGCCGCGTCGATGCGCTCGGGAACTCACGTCGATGTCCTGCCCGCTGGAGCGGAAGGAGTAGTTCGATTCCGGGAACACAAACTGGAAACACAAACACGGTGAGGGGGGGGGGGGGGGAACGCGCACACAGACACGTCGCCCCGGTTAGCAGCTTCCACCGCGACAGCGAGCGGCGCCCGCGGGCGGTACACAGATGTCGGCGGCTTTGTCCACCGTTGTTTCACCCACCCACTCACACACACACACACACGCACCCACACACCCACCCTCACACACGCACCCACTCACCCACTCACCCACACACACACGCACCCACACACCCACCCCCACACACGCACCCACACACCCACCCCCACACACGCACCCACACACACGCACCCACCCACACACCCACCCACACACCCACCCACCCACACACCCACTCCAACACACGCACCCACACACATACACCCACCCACCCACACGCACCCACCCACACGCACCCACCCACCCACGCATGCTAATGCACGTGTAGTGACATGGAATGGGTCACTACGTAGCACTAGCGCTGGTTGCTGGCAGAGACGGGGATCTGCAGTTGCAGCAGCCCTGTCTGTCAGCAGGTCACGTGACAAGCCAGAAAGAGGGATGTAGGGCAAAGGTCATAAGAGGGGGCACACGTGAGGTGAGCCCGGGAACCCTCTAGTAGGTTCTAAAAGGGGGGGGGGCGTGGCAGGGGCGGAGCGAGAACACGCTAGGATAAAAGGGGACCCCCCGAGAGAAGGCTCGGGGCTGTCGCTGTGAGTGGGATCCCCTCGCCGTGCCGCCAGAGTCTTCGTCTTCACCATCGCGGTGTCGTCAGTCATGCGGTCTGCCAGCTGTCCTGACTCGTAGTCGCCTTTGTAACCTGTGAAGGCTGTTTCTAACTAGAGTGCCTCCTACTCCTAGTGTCTCTGAGTCAGTCAATACACATGGACACCAACAGCAGTGGACACCGAACTTAGCGGACAGAGCGCTAATCCCCACACGACGAGCACACACACACACACACACCATTGCACAATGCACAACACAGGCAATCGGTGAGAATCACACACAAACACACGGCGACTCTCACGCACGGCGACTCTCACGCACGGCGACGCACCAGCGACGCTCACACATGGCGACGCACGGTGACACGCACGGTGACACGCACGGTGACACGCACGGTGACACGCGCGTGGTTTTGCCGTGCTTACTTGCGGCCGGAACGGGAGCGAGCGGCAGCAAATAATCGTCTGCACCGTGTTAATTAGCGGCTCGTTAGCCTTCATCTTGGAACGGCGAAGGACGGGAGAGAGCAGGGAGCAAAACACAGGGGTGGAGCGCAGGGTTAGTAACGGGCACGGAGACACTGGGACGAACAAACACGCAGGTGCAGAGACACAGAGACACATGGACACGGAGACAGAGACACTGGGACGTAGACACAGAGACACATGGACACGGAGACAGAGACACTGGGACGAACCAACACGCAGGTGCAGAGACACAGAGGCACAAGGACACGGAGACACAGAGACACTGGGACGGAGACACTGGGACGGAAGCACAGAGACACATGGACACGGAGACAGAGACACTGGGACGAACGAACACGCAGGTGCAGAGACACAGAGACACATGGACACGGAGAGACAGAGACACTGGGACGAACGAACACGCAGGTGCAGAGACACAGAGACACATGGACACGGAAACAGAGACACTGGGACGGAGACACTGGGACGGAAGCACAGAGACACATGGACACGGAGACAGAGACACTGGGACGAACGAACACACAGGTGCAGAGACACAGAGGCACAAGGACACGGAGACAGAGAGACACTGGGACGTAGACACAGAGACACATGGACACGGAGACACAGAGACACTGGGACGTAGACACAGGGACACGGAGACTCGCAGGAAGTGAGAAAGGCAAGGGAGCAGGTCAGGTGGTCTCAGGTAAGATGGCGGCTCGGCACAAATAAAACGCTGCAAAGGAAATAAAAACCCGAAACACCGAGGAGGTGGCAGCGGTGAGAACGACGGCGATGACGACGATGACGACGACGGGCAGGCAGGCAGGCACATCGTCACGGGCGGGGCAGGGGATGGGTGGGGGAGGTTTCATTTGTCGCCAAATATTTTTCTGCGCTTGCCGATAGCACCGCGATTTCGGCGGGACGCAGCCACCACAGCCCCGCCTCAGCCCCCCAAGCAAAAGGGGGGGGGGCTGTGGTGGTAACAGCCTCGACGTGGCCACTACCACCACGCCTGGCCGCCTTTGTCTCTCTCACACCCCCCCCCCCCCCCCGCAGTGGGAGAATTTTCCGACCCAGCCAGACTCGGCGGGGGTTGGCGGTGCGATTGAGCTTCCACGACCCCGCCGTGCGTGACCCTCTCGTGACGTGGGGGGCGGGGGGGGCGGGGGGGGCGGGGGGGGGGGTAACGACACGACGGGGTGAAGGGATAACGCGGCCGCAGCAACGTGACGTCAGGCATGCGATGGGCCCCCGAGTGGCGTAGCGGCGCAGGTGGCGTGGACCCCCCTCCACCCCCCCTCCCCCCTCTTCCTCAGCCCGGCTCCCGGGGGCCTCTGCTCGTCTGCTCCCGCTGTCTGACCCTCGACAGAGTGACACCCAGTCCCAGGGTCTCAACAGTGCCCCCCCCCCTCCCCGCTCTATCCCCCCGCGGTCGGCCCGCCCTGCACACGCCGCTAGGCCACTGGGGAGCTACCGGGCAGGGGGAGCGGGGGGGGGAGGGGGGTGACGGCACGAGATACGGGACGAGGCACGGGACGAGGGGGCACCGTGCGGGTAACGAGGTGACGATGGGGCTGGGGGGCGATGGATGGGGGGGGGGGGGTACTGGCTGCAACCATGGGGACAGTGGGGGCCATGCAGGTGAGAGACGATGATGGCGGCGGCGGTGGTGGTGGTGATGCCGATGCTGACACTGCTACCGCTTCTTGTTGTCAATAACGGAAGATGATTGCTGCTGCTGCTGCTGCTGATCTTTCTGCTGCTGGCGACAATGATGCTGCTGATGAGGATGATGATGCTGGTGGTGGTGAGGATGATGCTGGTGGTGAGAATTATGCTGATGGTGGTGGTGAAGATGATGCTGGTGGTGGTGGTGAGGATGATGCTGGTGGTGGTGGCGGTGGTGAGGATGATGCTGGTGGTGGTGGTGAGGATGATGCTGGTGGTGAGGATGATGCTGGTGGTGGTGGTGAGGATGATGCTGGTGGTGGTGAGGATGATGCTGGTGGTGGTGGTGAGGATGATGCTGGTGGTGGTGGTGAGGATGATGCTGGTGGTGAGGATGATGCTGGTGGTGGTGAGGATGCTGGTGGTGGTGAGGATGATGCTGGTGGTGGTGGTGAGGATGATGCTTCTGGTGGTGGTGAGGATGGTGCTGCTGGTGGTGAGGATGCTGGTGAAGATGGTGGTGAGGATGATGCCATACTGCCCCACCTGGCTCTCAATAAAGCGCAGGTTCCTCTGCAGGTGCAGAGACGGTGCCATCGACTGCGCAGGCAGGGGCAAGGGGGAGGCGTGGGTGGCACAGCGGAGACACGGGGTGGCGAGCGCGGTGAGCGTGGCGAGGGAGGGTGGTGAACGTGGCAGGGTGGTGTGTGTGTGTGTTGTGGGTAGTGTGTGTGTGTGAAATACGATGTAAGGGATAGAGAGCATGTGTTGTGAGTGGGGCATGTATTGTGTGTGGGTAGCATGTGACTAAAGTATATAGTACAGAGTATCGAGCATGTATCTAGAGTACAGAGAATCGGGCACGTGTCTATTATATATAGTATTAAGCATGTATCTAGAGTACAGAGAATCGGGCACGTGTCTATTATATATATAGTATTAAGCATGCGTCTAGCCCAGGGGCAGTGTATCGATCCTGCACCTCGTGTGCGTGTCGAGCACGTGGCTAGCGTGCCGCTACCGTGTCAGCCGTGCGTCCATCGCGCCCTCGTTCCCACGTGGCGCCCCATCCCCACGCCCCCCGTGACCTCCGACCTCTCAAGACCCCCGTGTGACCCCGTGACCCCCCCCGTGTGACCTGGAGACCCCCGTGTGACCCTCCGTAACTCCCCGTGTGACCCCCCTGTGACCCCCCCGTGTGACCTCGTGACCCCCCGCGTGACCTCGTGACACCGCCCCCCGTGCCGGACCTGTGACCGCGGCGCGGCCGGCGCCGGGCCCAACAGGTGCGCGAGCGTGCGGTCCCTCGCTTCGGCCAGCACCGCCTGGTTTCTCCGCAGCTGGATGAGCAGCAGGGTCAGCTCCTCTGGCTGTGCCCCGCCATCACCATCGCCGCCGCCATCATCATCATCATCGTCGTCGCCGCCGCGTCAGCATCATCAACGCCGCCATCGCCGCACAAACGGAGAAACATCGTCCGCCACCCCGTTACCATCGCACCGGCGTTAAGTCCACGCCGTTAGCGGGATTGCCGTGGACGCACCGACCAGCCGGCCGCTGCCGCCGCCTGGCGCAGCAGTCGGGCGGGGCGAGAGCGGTTTGACTCGCCGTCGGAAGGAAAGGTCAAGAGGTCAAGAGGTCAAGAGGGCAATGTACGTCGAACTTCTTTTGCGAAGGGTGGGGGGGGGGCGTGGGGGTGAGAGGCGAGGGTGAGCGTGGGGGTGAGCGGCGAGGGTGAGCGGCGGGGGTGAGCGGCGAGGGTGAGCGTGGGGGCGAGCGGCGAGGGTGAGCGTGGCGGCGAGGGTGAGCGTGGCGGCGAGCGGCGTGTGTCTCACCGTGCGGCCCTGCAGGCTGGGCGGGATGGACTGCGGGGTGGACGTGTGCACCATGGACGGCATGGGCCTCCTGTCCAGCGTCTGCGTGCCCTGCGAGACCGTGGGGACAGCCAGACAGGCGGCCAGACAGCCAGCCAGTTAGACAGCTCGATAGACAGACAGACAGCCAGCCAGTTAGACAGCCCGATAGACAGACAGACAGCCCGACAAACAGACAGCCCGATAGACAGACAGCTCAAAAGACAGGCCAGCAGACAGCCCGCCAGCCAGCGCCCTACAGGTGTGTGTGTGTGTGTGGGGTGGCGACCGTACCCGCGCTCCGTGGCCGTGGCCGAACTCGGCGCCGCGTTGCCGGTGCGGCAGCGCGGCGTGGCGGGCCGCCAGGGGGGCGGCCGCCGCCACGTCCACCCGCCCGGCGGGCGCGTGCGACCTCCGGTGTCCGGGCGACCTCTCGCTGCGCGACCTGGCCCGCGTGACCCCGTACGACCCCGCGGCGCCGACGCCCGCCCCGTACACGGCCCCGTCGCTCTCGTCCACCTCGGCCATGCTGTAGAGCGTCGGGGGGCTGCTCACCGCAAACCGGTGGAGCGTGGACGAAGCGCCGGGCGGCGCCGGGCCTGGCGGAGGAGGGGGGGGGTGGGGGCGGCCGGGGGGGGGGGGGTGACGCGAGGTCGAGCGTGAGACGCGCGCGAGTCCGCCGAGCGTGTCGGGGAGGCTGCGCGCGGCCTCGTGCGGAGCTGGTGGGTAGCACCGCGCCCGGCCGCCTTTGTCTCCCCAGCGGCAATGTTTTACCGCGCACCGCGCCGGGTACTCGTTTGAGGCCGAGTCGACCTAGGGGAAGGGCCCGGCAGCGGTTCAGGCGATCGTCACCGGTGGTGTTGGCGGGTCGCTGGGTTCGTGTCGCGAGGCGCTAACACCGCTACGCCACCGTTCGTCACAGCACGAGGACACGTGGAGACACGCGGAGACACGCGGAGACAGACACGGAGACGCACGCACGGAGACACACACACACACAGAGACACACAGAAACACAGAGAGACACACAAAGACACACGGAGACAGATAGACACAAACACGCACACGGAGACACGCACACATGCACAAAGACACGAGGAAACACGCGGAGACAGAGACACGTGGAGACACGCGGAGACACGCGGAGACAGACACGGAGACGCACGCACGGAGACACACACACACACAGAGACACACAGAAACACAGAGAGACACACAAAGACACACGGAGACAGATAGACACAAACACGCACACGGAGACACGCACACATGCACAAAGACACGAGGAAACACGCGGAGACAGAGACACGTGGAGACACGCGGAGACACGCGGAGACAGACACGGAGACGCACGCACGGAGACACACACACACACAGAGACACACAGAAACACAGAGAGACACACAAAGACACACGGAGACAGATAGACACAAACACGCACACGGAGACACGCACACATGCACAAAGACACGAGGAAACACGCGGAGACAGAGACACGTGGAGACACGCGGAGACACGCGGAGACAGACACGGAGACGCACGCACGGAGACACACACACACACAGAGACACACAGAAACACAGAGAGACACACAAAGACACACGGAGACAGATAGACACAAACACGCACACGGAGACACGCACACATGCACAAAGACACGAGGAAACACGCGGAGACAGAGACACGTGGAGACACGCGGAGACACGCGGAGACAGACACGGAGACGCACGCACGGAGACACACACACACACAGAGACACACAGAAACACAGAGAGACACACAAAGACACACGGAGACAGATAGACACAAACACGCACACGGAGACACGCACACATGCACAAAGACACGAGGAAACACGCGGAGACAGAGACACGTGGAGACACGCGGAGACACGCGGAGACAGACACGGAGACGCACGCACAGAGACACACACACACACAGAGACACACAGAAACACAGAGAGACACACAAAGACACACGGAGACAGATAGACACAAACACGCACACGGAGACACGCACACATGCACAAAGACACGAGGAAACACGCGGAGACAGAGACACGTGGAGACACGCGGAGACACGCGGAGACAGACACGGAGACGCACGCACGGAGACACACACACACACAGAGACACACAGAAACACAGAGAGACACACAAAGACACACGGAGACAGATAGACACAAACACGCACACGGAGACACGCACACATGCACAAAGACACGAGGAAACACGCGGAGACAGAGACACGTGGAGACACGCGGAGACACGCGGAGACAGACACGGAGACGCACGCACGGAGACACACACACACACAGAGACACACAGAAACACAGAGAGACACACAAAGACACACGGAGACAGATAGACACAAACACGCACACGGAGACACGCACACATGCACAAAGACACGAGGAAACACGCGGAGACAGAGACACGTGGAGACACGCGGAGACACGCGGAGACAGACACGGAGACGCACGCACGGAGACACACACACACAGAGACACACAGAAACACAGAGAGACACACAAAGACACACGGAGACAGATAGACACAAACACGCACACGGAGACACGCACACATGCACAAAGACACGAGGAAACACGCGGAGACAGAGACACGAGGAGATACGCGGAGACACGCGGAGACAGAGACACACGGAGACAGACAGACACACAAAGGCACGCACGGAGACGCGCGCACACCCCCGCCGGAACGCCCGACGCTCACGTACTGTGCCCTCCGTGCCGCAGCACCTGCCGCTGCCGCCACTCGAACAGCTCGGAGACCACGTTGGCGGGGGGGCCGTGCCCCCCGGCCGAGCCCCCCACCCCCCCGCCGGCTCCGTGCGGCCCGGCGGGCCCGGCGGCGCCGCCGGGCGGCCGCCGCGACTGTGAGGAGGCGGCCGCGGCGTGGCGAGGCAGCGAGGTGTAGCCGTCCGGGTAGGGGGCGCCCACCACCACTAGCGACTGGCGGTAGCTGGGCATGGACCTTGGCAGCGTCTGGGTGGAAGCGATGCTGCGGGGAAGGGAGGGGGGGGTGGGGGAAGAGGAGAGGAGGTGAGAAGAGGATGGAGGGGGGAGGAGGAGGTGAGAGGAGGATGGAGGGGGTCAGGGCCCGTTCCTTGCTCGAGGTTTCACAGCGACGCCTCACCGCTCCGGCCCGCAGGGTTCACAGCCACGCGTGGCCATCCGCCCCATCTCGTCTCTCACCATCCTCCTCCTCCTCCACCTCCCATCTTCACCCCTCCACTCCCTGTCACCAATCCTCTGCCTCTCCCCCCCCCCCTCACCTCTCTTTACCAATCCTTGAGCTGCTCCCCCCCCCACCCCTCCTCTACCCCCCCCCCCCAAGCCCCCCACCACCCCCACCGCACCCCGGCGCCTCCCTCACCTCAAGCGGTCTCCCTCGTTCTTCTCCTTCTGCGACTGCATCCACTGCTCCAGCTGCACCATGGAGTTGCGCTTCTCCCTCTCGCGCTCCCTCTCCAGTGCCACCGCCCGGTGGCCCTCGCCGGCGCCGCCCGCCGCCCCGTAGCCAAACCCGTCCTGGTTGAGCGCCGAGAGGCTGCTGCTGCCGGCGAGCCCCATCCCGCCCGTGCTGTGCCGCTGCAGCTGCTGCTGCTGCTGCAGCAGCCTCTGCTGCTGCTGTTGCTGCTGTTGTTGTTGCTGCTGCTGTTGCTGCTGCTGCGGGTTCGGGTGACGTAGAACCACGCCGGACGTCGCCGCCGCTTCCGGCCGTAAGATCGCGGCGCCGGCGGTCGGGCGATCGGCGGCCTCCGCGGGCGTTCGGCCGGGGCCCGCCGACGGGTCGAACCTCTCGCCGCCGCCGCCGCCGCCGCCGCCGTCGTCGTCGTCGTCGTCCCGCCGCTCCGCGGCCGCCCCCCTCTCGTCGTAGTCGTCACGCAACTGCCGCCGGAGCTCCTCCGCGGCCGCCTCCGCCGCGGCGACGCCGTCGCCGCCGTCGTCACCGCCGCCGTCGTCGTCGTCGTCGGCGGCGGCGGCGCGGGTCGCGGCCGACGGCCCGGCGAACGACGTGACGGCCTCCACCTCCGCGTCGTCGTCGTCGTCGTCGTCGTCCGTGCCGGCCCGCGGGCGAGCCAGCCCCTCCTCCGTCACGATCTCCACGTCGCCGCGCGGGCCGCCCCCCCGTTCGTCGTCGTCGCCGCCGTCGCCGCCGTCGCCGCCGTCGGAGCGCGGCGGCCGCCGCCACCGGGCCGGCGCCGCGACGTCTCCCGGCGCCCCACGGAGCCCGTCGGCGAGCACCTGCCCCCCCCCCGCCGCCTCCTCTTCGTCCGCCGCTCGTCCGCGTGAGTGGTTGCCGGCGCTCGCCGGTTTATCGTCCGCGCCGCCGCCGCCGCCGCCGTCGTCGCTGTTGCCGGGAGGGAGGAGACCGCGTGAGATGTTGACTACCTCGCCCGGTACGCGGGAGGTTCGTGGGTTCAATTCCGTGGGTCACGTTGGATTTTTATCCGTGGGTCACGTGGATTTTTATCCGTGGGTCACGTGGATTTTTTATCCACATTTAGAATCGATAGCACAGGTTTTTTTTTTTTTGTTGGGTTAGATCACGCAAACATATAAATGTTGTGTCGTTAAACCCACCACCACCCGACACCCGACACAGCCAACTAGTAAGGGTTAAATCGTCATCATCTCGATTGACGAACTCATTTCTTGAGAACTCCTTCTTGTGCATAGGTTGCTGTCCTTCCGGCGCACCTCCGATTAGCGCGGCTGGCTACGTACGGCGCGTTCAACGCACACGCGCACAAACGCACGAGGGGGAGGGGGGGGTTGGAGGGGAGGGGGGGGGGTTGGAGGGGAGGGGGGGGGGTTGGAGGGGAGGGGGGGGGGGTTGGAGGGGAGGGGGGGGGGGTTGGAGGGGAGGGGGGGGGGTTGGAGGGGAGGAGCCGTCTCACCCCTGCGGGATCTCCATCTGCAGCTGCGACGCCTGCACCATCGCCTTCATCCACACGCGCATTTCCTCCAGCGAGTCGGCGCCAAAGTAGTAGGTGCGCATGCCAGCGTGCCGTGCCTGCCACGGCACACGGGTCAAGTGGCGGCCACCCCCTGCCGGCTTCTCGTGCCTCTGGCTCGGAGGCCCGGCCTGTGAAGGGAGCGGGGGTGGTGGTGGCGGGGTGGGGGGGGGGAGAACAGAGGAGGCGGCAAGGCACGCAGGCACGCGCGCGGGCAAGCAAGGCAGACACGCAGACACGCAGACAGGAAAACGCACATGCATGCAGACACGCACGCACGTACGCACGGGACAAAGGCACGCAAAGCAAACACGCACACGCGGACGCGCCAACACACGGGCGGATACTCGCACGCACGCACGCACAATCCAAACGCACGCACACACACACACACAAACCAAACGCACGCACACACACACACACAAACCAAACGCACGCACACACACACGCACGTCGATTAGTTCCAGGTCATCTCGTCGCTTCGCATCGCTCACGTGACGTCATCCTGCTTTCGGCCAGCTGCGTTATAACCCAGTCAGTGGCGTTATAACCCAGTCAGTGGCGTTATAACCCAGTCAGCGGCGTTATAACCCAGTCAGTGGCGTTATAACCCAGTCAGTGGCGTTATAACCCAGTCAGTGGCGTTATAACCCAGTCAGTGGCGTTATAACCCAGTCAGTGGCGTTATAACCCAGTCAGTGGCGTTATAACCCAGTCAGTGGCGTTATAACCTGGCATGCTGCGTTATAACCCAGTCAGCGGCGTTATAACCCAGTCAGTGGCGTTATAACCCAGTCAGCTGCGTTATAACCCAGTCAGTGGCGTTATAACCCAGTCAGTGGCGTTATAACCCAGTCAGTGGCGTTATAACCCAGTCAGTGGCGTTATAACCCAGTCAGTGGCGTTATAACCCAGTCAGTGGCGTTATAACCCAGTCAGTGGCGTTATAACCCAGTCAGCTGCGTTATAACCCAGTCAGTGGCGTTATAACCCAGTCAGTGGCGTTATAACCCAGTCAGCTGCGTTATAACCCAGTCAGTGGCGTTATAACCCAGTCAGTGGCGTTATAACCCAGTCAGTGGCGTTATAACCCAGTCAGCTGCGTTATAACCCAGTCAGTGGCGTTATAACCCAGTCAGTGGCGTTATAACCCAGTCAGTGGCGTTATAACCCAGTCAGTGGCGTTATAACCCAGTCAGTGGCGTTATAACCCAGTCAGTGGCGTTATAACCCAGTCAGTGGCGTTATAACCCAGTCAGTGGCGTTATAACCCAGTCAGCGGCGTTATAACCCAGTCAGCTGCGTTATAACCCAGTCAGTGGCGTTATAACCCAGTCAGTGGCGTTATAACCCAGTCAGCTGCGTTATAACCCAGTCAGTGGCGTTATAACCTGGCATGCTGCGTTATAACCCGCCCAGACTTTACGTCGCCAACTCCGTCGCGATTGGCATTTCCCGTTTTTGCCTGCACTGCTTTGATGCATTCGAAGTAACAGCGAAGTGGAACTTCACTTTTTCGATTCAAAGCTTTCGTGACTGCAAGGATTCATCTTCTTTGGTTCTTTCGGTAAAGTCACGTAGAATGAGAATAAAATAATAAATTGATAAAATAAAATATCAATTTATTATTTTATTCTCATTCTACGTGACTTTACCAAAGGAACCAAAGAAGATGGAACTTCACTGTTGCAGTTGTGTTCGTCTGGAATTTAACTTTAAAAAAAACACACACATACTTTGCGTGAATGCGTGTGCGTGCATGAACACAAATATCGCACGCGTGTACACAAGTGCGTATTTGTTCGCATACAAGCGAGGCTTTCCAGAGCACCAGAATCATATAATAAATACATGTTTATTAATGTCGTTAATTCATCAATGAAGGACAATAAAAATAGCCATTGTTATCAACTCCTCGTTTGCCAATCCACTGCCGGATGAAGGCTTCCTCATGCCGTGTTAGCCACCGGGGGTTGTTTGACCATACTTCACCGCTCTGGAAAGCCTCGGCCCAGCGAGTCTCTTCCTCAGGAGGGTCCCTGCCCCCCGACCTGATTGGCCAACAGCTTCCTCTCGAGTATTTTCTCCCCGCCGGCTTTCCCCCACGTTTTATAAACGTTTCATTTATTTTTTTAACCGACTTACGGAAACGTCGATAATTTCCGCCTTTGAAACAAAAATCGTCGCCGGTTTTAACCCCGTTGGAGACGAGAGAGAGCGCGCATCCGCCAGCGGAGCCCACTGCGGGCCGCGAGGCGTGTCCGGAGGACGCCACGAGGAAGGAGGTCTCCCAGAACCACTCCCGAGATTCCAACGCTCGTTATCCCAACGCCCTCGGCGACCGCGCCGAATTTTTTTTCTGAAAAGCCGGGGAGCTGTTTTGGGCCAAAAACAAAACGCGGCAGGAACCCTCCCCCCCCCCCCTCCATCCCCGACTCCTCGCGACCCCGAGCCCGGCCGTGCGGGCGCGTACCTTTGTCGGGTGAGCGAAGCCGCCTTGCGAGCGGGCGGCTCGCAAGGTTGGAGGGGTTGTGAAAGGAGCGGCGACCCCGGCGAGAAGACCCCCAGAGAGGCACGGAGAGCAGCAGGAGGAGGAGGAGGAGAGAGCCGACAGCCAGAGTTCCCAGAGTTCCCAGAGTTCCCGGGGGGACGCGGGGTTGGGGGGGGACACCAGGACGCAGGGTCGGCAACACATCGACGAAGGTGACGCACTCACAAGCAGCCACCCAGGCCCCCCATCGCACGCAGGCCCCCCATCGCACGCAGGCCCCCCATCGCACCCAGACCCCCCCCCCCCCCCCCCAGCGCCGTCTCACCGCACAGCGGCGGTTTCTCAAACTCGCGCGCCATACGGGGCGCAGCAGCAGCAGCAGCAGCAGCCAGCTGCGGCACGGAGACCGTGCAGGAAAGAGAATTTATGAAAGTGCATGGGGGGGCGGGGGGGCGAAATGACGTCGCCACGGTGGCCAAACGCGGACGACGCGCCGTGCAATTACCACCGCGACACAACGCCGAGACGCAGCGTCGCTTGGCGAACAACGCGCAGCGGCGATCTTTAGAACAGTCTAGACGTGTGGCGGGGGGGGGGAGGGGGGGAGCTATCCAGAATTACTCAAAGTCCACTTTGAGCGAAGCAGACGGCGCGTGGTGATTACTGCGGTTAATACCACACACACACACACGTGAATACCACACACGCGCACACACGTGAATACCACACACACACACGTGAATACCACACACACACACGTTAATACCACACACACACACACGTGAATACCACACACACACACGTTAATACCACACACACACACACGTGAATACCACACACACACACGTTAATACCACACACACACACACACGTTAATACCACACACACACGTTAATACCACACACACACACACACGCACGTGAATACCACACACGCGCACACACGTTAATACCACACACACACACACGTGAATACCACACACACACACGTTAATACCACACACACACACGTTAATACCACACACACACACACACGTTAATACCACACACACACACACACGTGAATACCACACACACCTTAATACCACACACACACACGTGAATACCACACACACACACGTGACTACCACACACACACACGTGACTACCACACACACACACACACACGTGAATACCACACACACCTTAATACCACACACACCTTAATACCACACACGCGCGCACACGTTAATACCACACACACACACACGTGAATACCACACGCGCACACACACGTGAATACCACACACACACACACGTGAATACCACACACACACACACACACGTGAATACCACACACACACGTGAATACCACACACACACACACACCTTAATACCACACACACACGTGAATACCACACACACACACACCTTAATACCACACACACACGTGAATACCACACGCGCGCATACACACGTGACTACCACACACACCTTAATACCACACACGCGCACACGTGAATACCACACACACACACACGTGAATACCACACACACACACACACCTTAATACCACACACACACGTGAATACCACACGCGCGCATACACACGTGACTACCACACACACCTTAATACCACACACGCGCACACGTGAATACCACACACACACACACGTGAATACCACACACACACACGTGAATACCACACACACACACACACGTGAATACCACACACACACACGCCAGTACGTCACACATCGCGCCTTCTACGTGAGCGAGGGGACAGAGCGAGCGGCGTCGCGGGCAAGCGGTCGCACCCCGCCCCCCCCCCACCGCACCCTCCACCCTCGTCCCCCACCCCTGCCCACCTGAGCAGGGCGTTAGTGAACGCGCGGCAGGGAAATCCGTTAGTGGGCGGGCATTCGAAAAGTTAGCGAGCCGGAAAAAAAAAGATTCGTCCATTAGTGTGAAAGAAAAACAACCCCACCATCCCCCCACCCCCATGCAACGGCGAGCACGCCGCACACGAACGCGTCATGCCGCATCGGAGAACACAAACCACACGAGACCAGCGGCCACAGCGTGCGGGCGTTCGTCAATCCGCAGCCGGACGAAAGGCCCCCCCCCCCCCCCCCCCCCCCCCCCCCACGTGCCGTGGTCGTTGTCGCGGCGACCGCACTTCGCCCGTGGGCCCCCCCCGCGCGCGAGCGGAAGGGGGGCATCCCGGCACGCGACGGGGCGGGTGGCCGGCACCGCGCCCGGCCCGCCTTTGTCTCCCCAGTGGCGATGTTTACTACGCGCCGCACCGTGGTACTCGTTTAAGGCCGAGTCGACCGAGGTGGGAGGGCCAGGACCGGTTCAGGAATCCGTCACCGATGGTTGACCGTGAGCGGGAATCGAAAACTGGGGTCGCAGGGTTCGCGGACCGGCGCAGCGTGCTAGCCGCTGCGCGTGTTCCAGCTTCGCGGGGAAGAGCTGCTCGCCCGCCCGCTAGGCCCGCCCGCTATGCCCGCCCGCTAGGCCTGCCCGCTAGCCCCGTCCGCTATGCCCACGCGCCAGGCCCGTCCGCTAGGCCCGCCCGCCAGGCCCGTCCGCTAGGTCCGCCCGCTAGCCCCGTCCGCTATGTCCGTCCGCTCGCCCACCGTACCTTGAAGGCGAACTTGCGGTTGATTTTATCGTCGGCTTCCACCGGATTCACCTGGAAGCTGGGCAGGGAGATGCTGCCCAGGACACCCTCCTCCTTGTTGTCTGCGCTCCCCGACGCCAGGGGGCCACGGGGCGGGTGGGGGGGGGGCGGAGTCAGCGTGGGTGGGAGGGCAGGGGGGAGGGACAGCGAGCCCGTTGCCAGGGAGCTCCCGTGGCGCGGGGCGGAACGTCGGACGTCGCGGCCCAAGGCGACGGCACGACGGCGGAGCGACCGTGCCCGCCCACTCGTGGCGACTCGGCTCCCGGCACGTCACAAGTAACCGGGGGTAACGAGGTGGTGAGGGTTCGGGTTGAGAGGTCAGGGGTCAGAGTGCACCGCTCACCTTTGTAGTAGAACAGGCAGAAGTCGGACAGCACGAACCAACGCTTCTTCCACAGCTTCATCCCCGTGCTGTCCTGCCGTGCCGACAGCCACACAGCCGCTGCGTTAGGACGAGACTCCTCTATGCGAGTCTGTGGGTCTCTATGCGAGTCTGTGGGTCTCTATGCGAGTCTGTGGGTCTCTGTGCGAGTCGGTGGATCTCTGTGTGAGTCTATGGGTCTCTGTGTGAGTCTGTGCGTCTCTGTGTGATGAGTCTGTGGGTCTCTATGTGAGTCTATGGGTCTCTGTGTGAGTCTGTGCGTCTCTGTGTGATGAGTCTGTGGGTCTCTACGTGAGTCGGTGGGTCTCTGTGTGAGTCTGTGCGTCTCTGTGTGATGAGTCTGTGGGTCTCTGTGCGAGTCGGTGGATCTCTGTGTGAGTCTGTGCGTCTCTGTGTGATGAGTCTGTGGTTCTCTATGTGAGTCTATGGGTCTCTGTGTGAGTCTGTGCGTCTCTGTGTGATGAGTCTGTGGGTCTCTATGTGAGTCTATGGGTCTCTGTGTGAGTCTGTGCGTCTCTGTGTGATGAGTCTGTGGGTCTCTATGTGAGTCTATGGGTCTCTGTGTGAGTCTGTGCGTCTCTGTGTGATGAGTCTGTGAGTCTCTATGTGAGTCTATGGGTCTCTGTGTGAGTCTGTGCGTCTCTGTGTGATGAGTCTGTGGGTCTCTACGTGAGTCTATGGGTCTCTGTGTGAGTCTATGGGTCTCCATGTCGGCGAGTCCACCCCACCTGTTTGTGAAGCCAACCCCGGATCATGACGGGCGCGTTGGGGTTCCGCCGGATGGAGTGCGAGCGTTTGCCGAAGTTCTGGAGCTTCCTGGAGCCCTTGGCGTTCTGCCTCACACGCAGGAACGTTCCGTCACCACCACCACCACCACCACACGAACGCACACGCACGTACGCGTGCAGCCCCTCTTGCCGATCCACTGCTGGATGAGGGCTTCCCCACCGAGCCCCGGCTCGCTGTGTTTTAGCCGCCCGGCGCTGCGCTCGTTGTTGCGAGCGTCGCTCCTCTGCCCTCCGCTGCTGCTGGCGGGCGACTGCCTCCAACTGCTCAGTAGTCTCAGAGCTCACCTAGCCTGGCACCGTCCGGTAGTGTCCTTAACGAGCCTCCTCCGCAGAGGCCGATCCTCACGCCGCTCGCTTCAAATCCTTTGGCAACACATGGGGCCCATCCCTTCTCGCGCGCGTGCTGCATCCGTTCAGCCCCCCCCCCCCCTCTATCCAACAAATCGTAAGATGCCTGGGCGGGGTGCGGTGGCCGGACTGGCGGGCTACGTGACTCAGCCAGCTTGCTCCCCGCACAATCCGGCGTGATTAAAATCGTGACGGATCGCAGACGGGGGCCGGCCTGAATATTTGCAACCGGCGCGAGCGGCGCTTGCGAAAAACAGGGTCCCTGTTCATCGCAAGCGTAGAGAAGAGGAGGGGGGCACAACCGTGGCCCGACAGGCCCCGGGGCGTCGTGCGGAGACGGGAACACGGCAGCTCCCGCGCACGCGCAGAGTTACGTGACCTGGTGAAAAGATAACGCCGCTCCAGCGGAGGCGGTGTGAGAGGCACACCGCCCAGGTGTGGCAGCTCCTCCGCCCCCTACGCGAGCACAGAATCCCTCGCGCAGAGTGCTAGTGGGGGGGGGGGGGGGGTTGGGGGCGGAGCGTCTGATGGGGTGCAGCAGAGAGGCAAACAGGGGTTTTGTTCGTTTCACACGCAGGAAACTTTGGCAAACCAATATTACTCATAATCAAGGTTTTTGGGTCCGATCGCGCAAGTATAAATGTTGTGTCGTATCCCAGCCACCACCCGACACAGCCAATTAGTTACTAGTATAGTGTAGTGTATAGTGTAGTGTGTACTACTTCAGCCCACCGGTGTGTTGGAGATTACATCAACCATCAGCATTGGGTGATTTGACAGAATAGTGAAGCAATCCACCTGCGTCCGGTCTTAAATAGAGCAGCAGCAGCAGCAGGACGACGTCATCACCACCACCACCCCCCCCCGCCTCCGAGTGGCATGCTCCAGGTTCGGCAGATGAGTTAAACGACTCTCAGAGTGAGCGTCAATTACCAGATTATCAGCACACGCAGAGTGGTCGACCGCGAGGGAGCCATCCCCTCAACCGCACCCAGGGATTAATCGCCTGACACACGCACACAGCTGTACCTACGACAGATGCCCCGTATAGCCTTAACTGACTCTACGGGGAATCTGTATAGTCAGCGAGTAGCACCTAAGAACGCCGGCACAGCACACGAGGGGGTGGGTGGTCAGCACCACGCCCGACCGCCTTTGTCTCCCCAGTGGCGATGTTTACACACCGCACCAGGTACTCATTTGAGGCTGAGTCGACCTAGGGGAGGCCCAGGACCGGTTCAGATAATCGTCACTGGTGTTGGCCGTGAGCGGGAATCGAACTCGGGTTGCCATGTTCGTAGCGTAGCGCTAACCGCTACACCACCGCTGCCCACACACACGCACACACACACGTACACAACAACAACCGCCATTTGCCACTAAGTGGTGGTGACATCACCACGACGCTTGTGCCAGGCCATGTGCACGTTGAGGCCATATGAAGTGTCGAACGCCCGCTGGCAGGTCACGGGGCAGACCCAGGTGCCACGGGTCGACTGACTGAGATGACTGGCTGATGCACCACCTGTGTCCCCTACCGTGCCAACTTGCTGTGCTTTAGCCACCCGGCGCTCCGCTCATTGTTGTGAGCATCGCTCTTCTGCCCTCTGTTGTTGTTGGAGGGCGACTGCCTCCAACTGCCCAGCAGCGTCCTTCACGAGCCTCCTCCACAGAGGCCGATCTTGACACCGCTGGTACCAATCATCGGCAAGTCCACTCAGCTCCACGTCCTCCTGTACCACATCACTCCATCTCTTTTCTAGCCCATGCCGCGCCCGTTTAGCCCCCTCGATCCGGCCGAACAAAAGCTGTTTAGGCATGCGGTGGCTGGGCATGCGGGCTAAATGACCCAGCCAACGCAGCCTTGCCCGCCGGAGGTGCTCACCAATGGGACTTAATCCAGATCTTTCGAGGATTTGTGAGCTCCTCACACGATCCAGCCTGTGTAAACCCAGGATTGATCGTAGGCAGGCCAGCCTAAATGTTTCTAACCGGCAAAGATGTTCCATTAGGGGGGTCCACGTTTCGCAGGCGTAGAGAAGGGAGGGAATGACCGTGGCCGAGGAGACCCGAAGCTTCGTGCGGAGCGACAGACCAGGTAGCTTCCACACAGCGTTACGCAACCGATGAAAATATATTGCCGCTCGACTGATTCGGAGTGAGACCTCTGCTGTTAAACCGGAGCCGTGCACACACGTACGTACAAACACGCACACGTACACACACGCACATGCAGACGTACACACACACGCACCTTAGGCACGGGGCTGGGGGGGGCGCCCACCCCGTCGTGCTCGCCCCCTGTCGGGTGGCCGGACATGGCGGCGGCGGTGGCAGAGCTCCCGCTGGAAACGCTGACCGGGCGTGCCGGCGCCGCGTCACACACCACCAGCAGCGCCTCCTCCTCCCCTCCTCCTCCTCCTCCTCCGCCCAGCTGATGCTGCTGCTGCTGCTGATGTTGGTGCTGCTGATACTGCTGGTAGTGGTGAGGGTGCAGGAGATGATGCTGCTGCTGCTGATGCTGCTGCTGCTGCTGATGCTGCTGCTGATGCTGCTGCTGATGCTGCTGCTGCTGGTAGTGATGGGATTGGTGTCGCGGGACCGGGGGTGGGGTGGACGACTGCTGCTGATGATGATAGTGATGCTGCTGATGTTGCTGCTGCTGATGATGATAGAACTGTTGTTGCTGTTGCGGCGGCTGCTGTTGTTGTTGCGGTGGTTGTGACGATTCGGAAATCCTGGGGGAGACGCAGAAACAACACGGGGGTCATCGTCATCGTCAAGTTTTAAGTTGATTCTGTGTGACAAGGCGGAGAACTCGTTCGCAAGAGTGAGCGACTGAGTGAGTGGGCGGGTGAATGAGCAATCGACCGAGTGAGTGGGTGGGTGAGTGAGTGGGTGACTGAACGACTGGGTGAGTGAGTGGGTGAGCGGGTGGGTGAGTGTATGAGTGGGTGGGTGAATGGGTTTGGTGGGTGGGTGAGTGGGTCGGTGGGTGAGTGGATGAGTGGGTGTATGAGTGGGTGGGTGGGTGAGTGGGTGGGTGGGTGAGTGAGTGGGTGGATGGGTGGGTGAGTGAGTGGGTGGGTGAGTGGGTGGGTGGGTGGATGGGTGAGTGGGTGGGTTAGTGGGTGGGTGAGTGGGTGGGTGGGTGGGTGCGTGGGTGAATGAGTGGGTGAGTGGGTGGGTGGATGAGTGAGTGAATGAGTTGGTGGATGAGTGAGTGAATGAGTTGGTGGATGAGTGATTGAATGAGTGAATGAATGAGTGAATGAGTGAGTGAATGAATGAGTGAGCAAATGAGTGTGTGGATGAGTGAATAAATCAGTAAATGAGTGAGTGAATGAGTGAGTGAATGAGTGGGTGGATGAGTGAGTTAATGGGTGGATGAGTGAGTTAATGAGTGAATGAGTGAGCGATTGAGTGACGACCTGGGGCCATCAAAACGAAATAAAATAAAGTGACAGCAAACAGAAGACATCAATAAAAACAAATATCCCCCCCCCCACCGTGTAGCCTTAACAGACCGTTGGGGCAAGTGCTGTTAGCGAGCAGAGGGGGTGGGTGGCCAGCAGCACCACACCCAGCCGCCTTCACCTCCACAGTGTTGATGTTTCACACACTGCACCAGGTACTCATTTGAGGCCGAGTCGACCGGTTATCAAGCGACGACGTTGCCCACGAGCGGGAATCGAACTGGGGTCGCCGCGTTGGTAGTGCAGCATGCTAACCGCTGCGCCACCGCTCCCCACACACGGACACTTACTCACAACAGAGATCCCCCCTCCACCTATACCCACAGCAGACTGTTGGGGCAAGTGCCGTTAGCGGGCACCCTTGAAGGCCACGCACACATACTCCTTCAGTGTGGTGGGTGGGCACGTCCGTGTGTGCGCGTGCGTGCCACTCACCGATTGGTCAGTAGCAGCACGGTGGTGTCGCCAGCCTGCTCGCCTAGCGGGTGATCAAAGCTCGTGGTCCCATCGTTGTGACTGCAACAAACAGAACACGCACGCACGCGTCACTACACCATCGCAAAGCACGCGCCGTGTATGGGCCCCATCATCATCACCAACACCGTCGATACCATCGTCACCGTCATCGTAATCGTCACCGTCACCTTCATCGTCACCATCGCCGCATCATCGTCACCAGCACCGTCGATACCAACACCATCGTCACCCTCATCGTCACTATCGCCGCATCACCGTCGCCGCCGTCACTGATTCGCTTGCGTGTGGACGTTCTCGCGCAAACCGAGTTGCGAGCCCCATGCTGTCAGGGCGCCGATCCGCCGGGCAACCGGCAGCGACGCGACCGCTTCACCGCGCCGCCTTCGCACCGCCACTGTCTCCCCAGTGGCGGTGTTTACTACACACCGCACCAGGTACTCGTTTGAGGCCGAGTCGACCTAGGGGAGGCCCGGGACCAGCTCGGACAACCGTCACCGCTGTTGGCCTCGAGCGCCAATCGAACCCGGGTCGCCGGGTTCGTAGCGCAGAACGCTAACCGCTACACGACCGCTCGCCACCCACAGACACACGCGCACAGACACGCGCAGACACGCGCAGACACGCGTACACGATGTTCAGCCACCGCAAGCCGCACCAGGTACTCGTGTGATGGCCCAGTCGACCTAGGGGAGTCCGCGGGTCCCGGGTTCAGCCAAATCGTCGTCGCGAGCGGGAAAGCGCGGAGCAGGACGAGGCAGCGGCACCCACGAAGCTGTCGCGCGGCGAACCAAACGCGGCCGCTTTGTCGGCACCGCGCAACGATCCACGCGCGTCGGACAATGAGGGTTACGACCTTTCGCTGCTAGCGACAACCAGCATCGTCAGGATTTTACTCAAAATATTGTTAGTAGTGGTGGTGGGGGCGGAGGAGGGGGGAGCGGTTAAAATATTACAAACGAAACTGTTTTTACTTTACCAGCCAAGGCACGCTGAGCTACGTAGCTCCTTTTCAGAATCGACCTGGCCACAGACGACACGCAGCTCGACCAAGTGGCTTATCGCCGCGTGGAAATTTACAGCGGCCAAATACTCTCTACAACGCGTGACACCGATTCCTGTAAACGCGGACGGAGAAAAACTGGAGGAGGACCCGGAGAAAAATCCACGCAGTGACCACGGGGAGAGTGAGAGAGACACGCAAACTCCAAATATACAGCAGCAGGCGTCAAGGGTCGGGATCGAACTCATGACCCCATGCGTACCAGGCGAGGTAGTTAACATCTCCTCGCCACCGTGGCGCCCGTGATGACGACGGCGACGGCGGCGACGACTCATTGTGAACAACCCCCCCCCCACCGCTTCCCAACACCCTCGCCCCCGCAGGGCACCGTGAATATTTCAGCAGCTGCAGCTGTTGCCGCCACCACCGCCACTACCGCCACCACTGCCACCACGACTGACGCCACCACCGCCGCGGCCACCACCGCCACCACCACCGGGGTGCCAGGCGGGGCTGTGCGTCTGCCGAGCGGAAAGCCACCACCGTGTGTACGGGGGACGCCGGCGTGAGCCTCTCGGATTAACGCCGAACCCTTTGGGCAGCCTAAGCCTGGCCCCTACGAGCCTCCTGAGTTAACAGTGAGCCCCACCCCTTCGGCAGTCTAAGCCCGGCTCCGTGAGCCTCCTGAATTAACAGTGAGCCCCCCCCCCCTTCGGCAGCCTCAGCCTGGCTCCGTGAGCCTCCTGAATTAACAATGAACCCTTTGGCGGTCTCAGCCTCCTGGCCCCTATGAGCCTCTTGCAATTAGCAGTGAGCCCCCTTTGGCGGCCGTAGCCTGGCTCCACGAGCCTCTCGAATCGCAACGCTGAACCCAGTGCCTTAGCAGCGGCGCTGGCACGGTCCCCGCTCCGGTGGCAAGCGACCGGCAAACTCCGTGGACTTCCGGCGATTTAAGACGAGAGATCCGCGACTACAAATGATCGCCGGGCGATTTGGCGCTGTTGTAAAAAGTGGGATCGGTACTAAGTGGGGGGGAGGAGGAGGTGGGGGAAAGAGACGTGTAGCCACGCCGGGGGGGGCGGGGTGGGGGGACAGGTGGGCTGAGGTAGGGGGGGCATCAATAATTCACGTGGCGTTTGTTGCGATGCTCTCCATCCAGTTTGGGCCGCAGGGCGAGGGCTGTTCCACGTCACGTGTGGCAGAGTGGCGAGACGCCTACGGCCAAGTGCGAGCGTGTGTGTGCGCCCGTGTGTGACAGCGCGTGTGTGAGCGCGTGTGACAGCGTGCGTGTGCGCCCGTGTGTGACAGCGTGTGTGTGTGTGAGCGCGTGTGACAGCGTGCGTGTGCGCCCGTGTGTGACAGCGTGTGTGTGTGAGCGCGTGTGAAAGCGTGCGTGTGCGCTCGTATGTGACAGCGTTTGTGCGACCGCGTGTGTGTGAGCGCATGTGACAGCGTGCGTGTGTGCGCGTATGTGACAACGTGACAGCGTGTGTGCATGTGTGCGCCCGTGCGTGCGTGACAGCGTGTTTGACAGCGTGTGCGCGCCCGTGTGACAGCTTGTGTGTCCGCATGTGTGTGCGCGCGCGTGTGACAGCGTGTGTGCATATGTGACAGCGTGTGTGCATGTGTGTGGCAGCGTGTGTAACAGCGTGTGTGTGTATGAGCGTGGGGAGCGGTGGTGCAGCGGTTAGCGCTACGCTGCGTTACGAACCTGGCGACCCGAGTTCAATTCCCGCTCACGGCCAACACCGGTGACGATTATTTGTACTGGTCCTGGGCCTCCTCCCCTAGGTCGACTCAGCCTCAATTGACTACCTGGTGAGGTGTGCAGTAAACAACACCACTGGGGCGGCCGGGCGTGGTGCTGGCCACCCACCCCCTCGTGTGCCGTGCCGGCCTTTAAACAGCACTTGCCCCAAACGTCTGTTGAAGGCAATACGGGTGATCTTTGTATTTGTACGAGCGTGCGTGTTACCTCGCGGCTGTGTGCACATGTGAATATGCGCATGCGAGTGAGCGTATTTGTGGGTGTGTAATAGTGCGATGCCTGCGGCTACGTATGTGTGTCTGTGCGAGCGTGAGTGTGCATGAGTGTGCGTGAGTGTGCGAGCGTGAGTGTGTGTGCGTGAGTGTGCGAGCGTGACTGTGCGAGCGTGACTGTGTGTGTGAGCGCGTGAGAACCTGGTGACCCGAGTTCGATCCCGGCTCACGGCAAACACCGGTGACGATTAACTGAACCGGTCCTGGGCCTCCCCTACTCGGCCTCAAATCAGTACCTGGTGCAGCGGTGTGTAGTAAACATCGCCACTGGGGAGACAAAGGCGGCCGGGCGTGGTGCTGGACACCCGCCCCCTCGTGTGCCGTGCCGGCCTTCATCGGTGCTCGCCAACAACACTTGCCCCGACAGTCTGTCAAGGCTACACGGGGGCTCTTTGTCTTTGTGTGTGCGAGCGTGTGTCAGCACGTGGCGCCTGGAGCCGAGAGTGAATGCGCGTGCGGAGTTCGTGAGCGCGAGAGCGGCGGTGGCAGCGGTTAGCGCACCGCGATAAGAACCCGGCGATCCCGAGTTCGATTCCCGCTCCCACACCCAGCCTCACACGAGTACCTGGTAGGCCGCGTGTAACAAAGCCGTCAGTACTGGGGAGACAAATGCGGCACGAGCGTAGTTTTGGCCTCCGCGCCCCCCTACCCCCCCCCCCCCCAAACCGTGTCCCGGCCTTCACGAGTCCTTCTTCAGAAGCGACGCGGCCGCAAATGATGGCTCAACGAGGCGGCGGCTTATTACGCTGGCAATCTATAGCGGCAGGCAGCCCGGAATACATCCAAAACGCGTGCTTCGAAATGATCCAAGGGACTGACTTTAAAAAAAAAAAAACGGAACAACACGGAAATTATTGAGACGGAAGGAGCGTGCAGAGGGGGGGGGGGTAGCAATAGGCGGTAGGTAGGGTACAGGGAGGGGTAGGGGAGGTGGTCACGGTAGAGGGGTGGGTAGGGTAGGAGGGAAGGGAATGGTGGGATGGAGAAGAGGTGAGCGTTGAGAGAGGAAGGGAAGGAGGTTAAGGAGGGGCACCGCTGAACGATCTAAAGTTCAATCCGCATCCGACGAAGCGCCTCACTCGCTTCCTCCGCCCCCCGCCCCCCGCCCCCCGCCCCCCCGTTGTTGTTGACGTTCCACTTCCTCGCGCGAGACGACAACAACAAGACGGGGCCGTAGACACGAATCGGCTGGCGCATCGCCGTTCTCACTTCACGACGAGGACCACGACGAGGACCACGACGATGACGACGACGCCGACGAAGAGGACGGGCACGCGCGTCCCTGCCGCTCAAACCCCAAACCCAACAACCGGCGCGACGCCGCCCTCCGCTTGCAGCCACGCGCGCCGCCGGTGGAAATTCCACGCTCCCATGGCAGGCCCTTCCCTCCGCAAGGGTGACGGGCTGCTCCGCTATTCTCAAGGTGTCAACTTTCGTGGCCCGCCGCAGTATTTCACTGCCTACTTGAGGTGGCAATTTGAAATATTTGCTTCGGTTTTTTTCCCAGCATTTGGCAGAGGGCCGTGAAGCCCCAGGGGGTGTGAGATGGTGGGGGGGGGGTCCCAGCTGCCTGGGCTTTACACAGCTCTGACTGTGTTCTTTTAAATATATATACATCAGTAACCTACAGCCTCCTTGGTCGATCCACTGCTGGATGACGGTCTCTGCTGGATGAAGGTGGGTGGGCGGGTAGGTGGGCGGATGGGTGAGTGGCTAAGCGGGTGGGTGGCTAGACGTGTGGGTGGGTGAGCGGTGGGGGGGGGAGGGGGACCCTGTTTGTCTTCGTCGAGCCATTCGGCTCGGGGGCGGGCTTCAAATTCAACAGCGGCGCGCTAAAAACGGCGCCGCATCAACCGCCACACCGCTTCAACCGCCACACCTCTTCAACCGCCACACCTCTTCAACCGCCACACCGCTTCTTCAACCGCCACACCGCTTCTTCAACCGCCGCGCGGCCGTCGCACGCCCAGCGTGGGAACGAGGAGGCCGAGACAGGAGG